GCCATGATGTATACTTGTTTTATTTTCTATATGCATCGCATTTGTACAACAGCACAAAATTTATTCAGATCACATTCAGGTTCATTAAATTGGCTTTAACAACAGGTTAAGCTTTTATACTTAAAGTAGAGCTGACTATCCCTTAAAAGTGTATTTTTTTTCTGGTTATTTAAAAGGGAAACACACAACAAACACCAAAAATACTGCTTAAACAGTAATCAGAAACAGCAGCTAACTCAATACATTTTTTTTCTTGTTTTATCCGTTTTTACATCATTTTTACTGATCAGTGATAGCCTGGCCCTTGCCTTCCTACGCAGCTCTGCTCAATTCTAGTTTCCCTTCATTGCTCAGTCTGGGACTTCTCCCATTGACAAGGATTTCGCTGGCAGATTTTAGCCGGGCCAATCAGAGAAGAGAACGTCAATTTTCTGCYCAGTGTCTGCTTGTAYTTTATTTTACCTGGGCCAATCAGCAAACAGGAGGCGGAGTTTTGAARGACGTCGATGTTCTGCGCAGTTTCTGCTKGTTATTTTAGCATACGGTAGTGGAGGAAGTGAATGAAGGCGGGGCTAGACGTGGACCGGAAGCGGAGTAGGTGTCGGAAAGGTTTGTGAGAGGAGCAAAATTTTAAAACTATTTTTGGACGGATTTTTTGGAATATAAATAAGGCGGTTATTGACATAAACTGGAATGTGACTGGATCAGGATGGGATCTCAGGTAGATGACGACGATGATGTAGACTTTGACAGCTGGACTCTGGTAGGTAAAGGAAGAGGAAGAGGCACAGGTAGGGGAAAAACAATGAAAGATGACATGGCTAAAGAGCTTGGTAGTCAATTAAGTAAGAGAAGCCTAGAGGAATATAGTTCAGATGAGGGAAATAGAGTTGTAAGAAAGAAAATAAGCGAGGAATTTAAGATCATTCTTAAATTCAGAAAAGAAGATGRGAATATGAGTTTAAGCCCTATCGTGGTATCAAAAGAAATAAGAAATTAGGCGAGGAGGAGTTTGTAAAAATTCTGCGTGATGGGAATATGTTGATCGACTGTAAAACTGAAGAACAGAAAAACAAAGCTTTGCTAATTGATAATATCTGTAAAAAAGTTGTTTGTGGAAAGAAAATTCTTGGAGAAAACAAAATATCACGTGGTTTTATCACAGGTATTCCACTTGAAGATCTGGAGAAACTTAAAAGAAGTATTCATGGTGGAGAAGAAAGAAGTTTGAAGAGAATGCTGAAGACAGTAGCKGGGGAAAAGATGCAAAGTTTATCGGTTCTTTTGGAATTTCATGGTAACGTTTTGCCTGATAAAATTAAAATAGGACTTATGAGTTTTCCTGTTAGACCTTTTATTCCTCCTCTGCGATGCTATAAATGTCAACGATATGGGCACATAGCATCTGTGTGCAAAGGGAAGCAAAGGTGTCCCAAATGTTGTGGAGATCATAGATATGATGAATGTGGGGAGGAAGTCCAACCTAAATGTTGTAACTGTGGTTGTCAACATAATGTTGCATATGGAGGGTGTCAAGCAAGGAAAAAGGCAGCAGAAATAAAGCAGATTAAAATAGTTTAAAATACAAGTTACGCAGAAGCAGTAAAAAGTGTGCAAGAAAAAAGATGAATCCAAGGAAATCCACAAGTTCTTTCTGATGAAAGGTCAGGGCCAAGTCAAAGGGAACAGTCAAAAACAGGGATGGAAATCTCAATGGATAAATTAATATTATTCTTGGCTTATGTTATTTATTGAACTGATCAAGTGAAACAAAAAACTGAAAAAATCAAAATCATAGTGAAAGGTGCAGAAAAGTTTCAAGCTGTGAAGAATTTATCTTGGGAATCACTAAACAAAATACTTGAGAGTTGTCATGAATCTGTCTCTGTCTGCCTGCCATTGACCCAGTTTCCTGCTCCCTGCTCATTGCCTCAGCCCCTCCC